GGTTTCAAGCACTGATTTGAAACCTGATAATTTTACTTTTCCTTGTGTTATTAAATCTTGTGCTTTGGGTTTTAGGATTGGTCTTGGAGAGGCGATTCATGGGTTGGCGGCGAAATCGGGGTTGGATTCCGATGTGTTTGTGGGCAATGCATTGATTATGATGTATGGTAAGTTTGGGTTAGTTGGAGATGCAGTTAAGGTGTTCGATAATATGTCCCAAAGAAATTTGGTTTCGTGGAATTCGTTGATTCGTGTTTATTCAGAAATTGGGTTATATAAGGAGAGTATTGTTGTCTTTGTGAGAATGCTTCAAGATGAGTGCGGTTTAGTACCTGATGTTGCTACGTTGGTGACAGTATTGCCGAGTTGTGCAAGGGAAGGGGATATTGAAATGGGAAAGATGCTTCATGGTTTGGCTATAAAACTGAGTCTCATTCATGAGGTTACTGTGAATAATGCCTTTGTTGACATGTATGCCAAGTGTGAGCTCTCAAATGCCGCACAAACGCTTTTTGAGGAGAACAAACATAAGAACACGGTTTCATGGAATTCAATCATCTGGAATTTTTCTAGAAATGATGATGCTTCAAAGGCACTTGATCTCCTTAGGGAACTTCATATGGAAGGAGATGAAGTTAGAGTCAACGAAGTCACTATTTTGAATGTGTTGCCAGCATTGTCCCAAAAGTCGCAGATAATGAGCTTAAAGGAACTTCATGGCTACTCATTAAGACGCGAATTTTTTGGAGATGAGTTGGTGGCTAATGCGTTCATTGTGGCCTATGCAAAATGTGAGTCTTTAAGTTCTGCTGAGTTTGTCTTTCATGAAATAGAGACCAAGATGTTGAACTCTTGGAATGCAGTTATTGATGGTAATGCACAATATGGAGATCCGAGAAAGGCTCTAGACTTTTACCTTGAAATGAGATCTTCAGGCTTACATCCTGATCGGTTTAGCTTAACAAGCCTCCTTTTAGCCTGTTCCAAACTTCGTCTTTTGCCATCTGGCAAAGAAATCCATGGCTTTGTGCTTCGAAATGGAATAGATACTGATCCGTTTATAAGTGTATCACTGCTTTCTTTTTACTTCCGGTGTAATAAACCACAATTTTCTAGGGCTTTATTTGATGGAATGATAAATAAAATTCCCGTTTCCTGGAATGCAATGATTTCTGGATATGAACAGTCTGGATGCCCAGAGCAAGCTCTTGACACATTTCATCACATGCTTAAACAAGGAATTAGGCCCAATGCAATTGCAGTAACAAGTCTTCTTGGGGCATGCTCACAGCTCTCTTGCTTGAGGCTGGCAAAGGAAATACACTGTTTTACCTTGAAGGGCAATCTGACAGAAGATGTGTTTGTTAACTGTTCCATCATAGATATGTATGCTAAATGTGGATGCATAGAATTCTCTCAGAGGTTCTTTGATAGCATGACTAAGAAAATTTCAGCATCGTGGACAGCCATGATTTCAGGATATGCAGTTCATGGACATGGAAAGGAGGCATTGCTGCTATTTGAACAGATGCGAATACAGGGATTCATGCCTGATCATTTTACGTTTGTCAGTATCCTTATGGCATGCAGCCATGCTGGGCTTATTGAAGAAGGTCTGGAATATTTCTATGAAATGCATAGTTTAGATGGGTTAATTCCCAGATTAGAGCATTACACTTGTGTGGTGGACATGCTAGCACGTGCTGGCAAACTGTATGATGCAATGGAGCTTATGAAAAATATGCCCATGGAAGCTGATGCTAAAATTTGGACTTCTTTGATTAGTTCTTGTAGAATTCATGGCAATATGGTTTTAGGAAGAATAGCAGCTGAGAAACTGCTACAACTTGATCCAAATAGGGTAGAGAACTATGTTTTAGTATCAAATTTACTAGCACAATCAGGCAAGTGGGATGATGTGAGAAGTGTGAGAGCGAAAATGAAAGAGAAAAGACTTCAGAAAGATGCTGGCTGTAGTTGGGTAGAAATTGGAGGGAAGATTTATAATTTCGTCGTTGGTCATCACATGCTTTCTAAATCAGAAGGGATTCAAAAATTTTGGACTGAATTAGAGGTGAAGATCAGAAAAATTGGTTACATTCCTGATACTAGTTCAGTGCTTCATGATGTGGGACAAGAAGAGAAATTACAAATTCTAAGGGGACATAGTGAGAAGCTTGCAGTCTCCTTTGGCTTGTTAAAAACTGCAGATGGTATGACAGTGAGAATTTGCAAGAATCTGCGTATATGTTGCGATTGCCATAATGCGATTAAACTGGTATCCAAGGTTGTTAACAGGGAGATAGTTGTGAGAGATAACAAGCGGTTTCACCATTTTAAGGATGGGTGTTGTTCATGTGGAGATTATTGGTAAAATACTCGTATGCAAACCTTTCACAATTGAAGCCAAAGACATATCTTTCCCTTGTGAGCAGGGTTGTATTGAACTAAGACTCAGCTCAATCTCAGGTTCTTCAGTGACTAGTTTGTGTTTGGCTACATAAAGAGTCATTAGAAAAAAGTAAGCTTTTTTTGTGATCTTAACGTGAAAGAGAAACGAACCTAACTCAAAATTGCTAAATCTTAAATGAACTTGGCTTTTGGACAGATTTATTAGCTCAAATAAAAGCTAAGTTCAGGTGACTAAATAAAATGAGCTTGACATGAACAAAATAATATGATTGGCTCTCAGCTAGGCTCATATAGACCCATACTTGTGAGAAAGTTTGTTCACCTCCACTAATGCTCTTTAGCCTGAAATTTAAGCTTTCAACCATGTGTAAATTTTACTCATCAAGTAGGTGCTCAAAAATTTATTTTTACAGCGTGACAATTATCTTATCTCATTACCCTTTTTACATCATTGTCTTGTTTCTTTGCAGTTCCCTTATTCCATGTGACAAGTGAGGGTAGCAAGCTACATCTTTGATGGAGATCTTTAGACACCTTTACAAAAAGCAAAGCAAACACAGACAACAAACAGCTCTGGTAATTATTTTTATCATATGGAGATATTAAATAGACTGATGTTCTTACATAAGTTTTGCTAAGAAGAGGGAGTACTGAAATTTTGAAAGAGTCTCATTTATAAATAATTTTGTCATGTTTAGATTAGTTAGTGACTTTTAATGGGTAATCACTAATCAGTCAATGAGGTTTGATATGTAAGAATGCTAAAAAACAGTTAATAAAATTGGCCTGATCTAATTAGCCAGTTTAAAGCTCTACTACTACCCCAATATTCCCAAGCACTACAGATCTTGGAAGAAGATAAAAAGGAAGAAAATTGGAGATTTAAATAATCATACGGCGGCATAATATCCATTGCAGACCTCAGCCACTTTGCCATTTTCTTTGCTTTCCTGCTCTGCTTTAGCTTAAACTGGTAACTTCCCACCTCAGTGCCTCACCCCTCTTATTTGAAGTCTATGTTTGAATGTTTGAATATCATGCTGACTTTTAAAGATATTACTCATTGCTGTTACTAAATGCTGAATCTGGTCTTCTGCAGATTGTGATGCTCTCAAATATTATGATTAAATGGGATACCATTAATTGTAAACCTGGTGTATATAGTGTAAGTACTCTTACTATATTAATGTTTTTCAGATGCTGTGAAGTTCTGGCTATTTTCCCAATTTGGAATGCAAGTACGCACTGCTTGAACTTTTTGAGGACAAAATAGAAGGGCTTCATCTCTCTTTTGTGGTCAGACATTTGTATGTTTAGCTCCACACTCAATAAGCTCTCCATATCAAGTAGCATAATCCATTTATATGTTACCCCAAGCCGTAGATGGCAAAATCATCAAATTCTTTTATTTGCATCATTGTTTGATCATGCTTCTGTCCAGCAAGATCTTTCATTGCAAAATCTTATTTTGTTATTAGTGTTGATGCATTTATCAAAATATGCAGTATTTATATCTCCATCTATTAACCAGTTTGCCTTTCTCTTCTGCCTCAAAAGGCCAATGTAAGCTTCCTAAGTTTCAACAACCTCAGCCCTAGCATGAACTTCGTCCTTTTATAATATCATGTCTGTGAGATCTGATGATATAACTTCAGAGTTTGCAGAAGCTTATTTGCAGCCTTATAATGTTCTTTTTTCTACATTATTACTACAGAGAACTGGTATAATTGACAAGAATGGTACCGTACTCTTATCATTTCTATATGAAATTAAAGTGGTATGTTAAACTGTTATAATGCGCTGAAGTGCATCTAAACATAATTAATGGCCTTTCAATATTTCACCTAAATTATTCTGCTTATCTCAATTTATCAGCATTGCTTATATGTATTGGTGGCTGACTGGCTGTACCAGAAAATTATGTACCAGGCATGGTTGCAGAACAGCTAATCGAGAAGGTACATAGTGTAAGAGGTATGTCTTGTTTCCTTTGTCTGGCTAGTTTATCTGCATCTAATATACATTATTGGCTTTTTTAATGAAAAAGTTTTATGAATGGTGCATAAATTGGATACAGGTAACTTTCCAGAAGATTGAAATTAAGTTTTTTTTATCTATCTGTTGTACCTTTTATAGTGTTTTCTTTTTTGACAAGTTAGCAAATGCCCTCATGGACAGTCTCTTACTGCAATTTTTACATTGATGCAAGAGGTTGATGAACCTTTTGTAATATATTGCCTAATAATAGGTTGTGATGAACCTTTTTTTAATATATTGCCTAATCCTGCTATGCTTTTTCTCATAAGTCGTGACATTCAACATTAATTGCTTTAACAAACAAGACACATTGGCATATCGAAGAGATTAGCATTGTTAATGCTGTTCTTGAAATGTTAGATATACAGTTCGGAATTCAAATGTGATCCTTGCACTTTACCGCTAAATCATGGGCATTATAGTGAAAATCAGTGGTGGCATTATGTTTCTTGATTACTTGTGTATAGTAATTGAACTGCCAACTCAATATAATTGCTACTACTGTACACCTTTGATGCTGTTCGCTTTTGGCTAAGGTTGTGAATGACTAACTAATGTTCTGTATTAACTTCTTCATGCTTATATTTCTCTATTCCTGATGTTGCTTTAGGGTGAGCTTTGAACTCTACATATATACTCCTAAACTGAATACTGCAATGAATTTCTGGGATTTTTCCCTCTGAGCTATTCTGATTAGTAAAATTGTTTCACAGCAGAATTTACAGAAAAAATTTCTTCTGTGTAAAATGAAACTGTTGATACTTGACCATTGCAGACTTGCAGTTGTGTTTGATCATAGGGAAGTTCAATTTGGGGCTGCTGTATGAAAAGATTGAGTTCAACAAGTAGATCATATCAAGGGAAAACTTTGCTGAGCTCAAGTGGCATAGGGGTTACTCTCATTGGGGTGGACAACTCTAAAAACGCTACTTCAGAAGTTAACATCTGTTGAGGGAATCCAGGCAAGGATGGATGGGATCATCTTTGTGACTGGGTGAAGCATCTAACTGCAATCCTACCATATGTATACTGAAGGACTGTTTAGGCTCTCGTTGATGATAAATACCTTCATAATATTGCTCGATACAGAATGAGCTCTAGGATCAGCCATCTCTCCTTTAAACAAAAGTCTTACATAAACTCATTTATATGAAAAATGAAAGTGTAAATCATCAAAGCATTCGAAAATTACTCCGGTGATAGAAAATTTTAGTGGAACTTGCATGTACTCGTTTTATAGCAAGAGGCTATATGCCTATATGGCTATATGTATGTGTAATCAGATATTTTACCACTCTTGGGGTTGTGTTGCGTTCTTTTAGGGAAAACTCTTGGCGTATAGGCCCTGTGTATTAAGAATGCAAATAGGATGTCATTTTTGTAAATAATGGGACTTGAAGGTGAAAAATATAATGACAAAAAGTACCACTATATGTATAATAGTACACAAAAAAAATACTATTAAAATAATTTATACTTTAATGGTACATTATACATGTATATTAGTATATAAAAATATACCACTATACTAAAACAAAAGAGAAAATGTACCACAAAACCCCAGATTGCTATGTACATGTCAAAATACATAGGCCCTATGCGTCTAGATGCACTCTTTCTTTTAGTGCGACCGGCATGTGAATTGTACTGCTATGTTCATTATTCATACTGTAGTCTGTCTTTAATCAGTGATACAACAATGTTATGAGAAAGCACCCTAAGCCCTAAGACCATATAAGCAACTTCTAATAGGTAACTAGTGAGTAAGCTCGGGCATTGCCCCGAGTTTCTACTATTGTAGACTTGCAATTGATATTTTTTTTAAAAGCTTTTCAAAACAACAATTGTTGTTGTCAAACTAAAGTTGAGTTATTCTTGAATATTTTTTTATTATTTTTTAATTGAACCTTGTGACACTTAATTATAGTTAATATTGGCTTAGATGATTTAATAGTTATATGTGTTATAAGAGGTTGAGGGTTCAAACCCCTCTATCCTTATATTTTTATATGGTAATGTTAGTTGCTTGAGCGATGTGACATTATTTAAGTGATGATTTGGCATCATGATATATTGGAAAGATGACATAACGCAACAAAATAGCCATTTTAACCTTCTTAGGAACACCTTTTAATATATTAGTATAGATATGGTGAACAAGACAATATTTTAGAAGCTGTAACATCACAGCATATCTCCATTAATAATCCACAACACTAAAGAGGTCATAAACATTCAACTGTAGTCTACTAATTCCATGGAAGGTCGCCCAACAACATTACATCATCGTTATAAACGAGCAAAGGTAAATCACGCAATATTTTGGTAAATTTGCTGAAAATTTTGATGGTAATTTGGTAGATTTGTTAACGGAGCTTCCAAAGAGAGATGCTAAATATTCAAGGAGAAATTTATTTATTTTTTCTCAACCAAATGTTGTCCTCCATTTAAGCATTACTATTGCACATAAAATAACAAATGTGGTACATCAAAAATCAAAATGTAAATAATTTATAACTTTGCCATTATTTACAAGTTTGTCATTGACACATACAAATACGTATATATCCCCTCTCTCATCTTCTTTAGATCACCTAATCCCAGGGGCAGACCCATAAAGGAACAAGGGGGGACCATTGTCCCCCCACTTTCGGGAAAAAAAAAAACAGAGGAAAAAAAATAAAATTGGAAAAATAGTTATATAAAATTGAGTGTAAAAATAAACAAGAAGTTTGTCTTAGCTAAGTTGGTCGTGGGCTAAAATTAATATGTCAAGGGGCCCAATTTCAGGTTTGCCTATCATGTCCACGTGTCACCATATTATTGGGTTTTGATAAAATAAAACTTTTTTTATGGAGGTGGTAAAAGCAATTAAGTTGTTTTTTAGAGGTGGTAAAAATAAAAAATTTCTTTATTTTAATCAAACCACTCGACTACTCCCTTATTCCTATTTCCCAATCACGAGGCACGAACCACCACCCACGCGACCACGAGTCACGGACTGCAGCGAGCATCTTCGGCAAATGTTTGCTAAGAAATTAACATCACAAAATAATATGGCATTCGAATCCCCCTTGTAACATCACTCCTTTTTTTGGGGTGTTTTATTTCAACCATACCACTCGACTACTCCCTTATTCCTATTTTCCAACCAAACCCAAATTACTTGTATTGTGTACCCGTTTTTTTTTAAAATAGGTTGATGTTAGTTGAATTATCGAAATTGTCCCCCATTATCAAATTTCTAGGTCCGCCACTGCCTAATCCAAACAGAAGGCTAATCGACTAAAAAATAATCCACCAAGTACTGTTAAATAAAAGGAAAAATGCAAAGAATATAAGAAAATGCTTGACCATAAAATACTGAACATCCCATGAGAGACTCAGCCTACTTTCTCTGACCCTTGCTCTTCTTTCGGGTAACAGGAATCCACCCATCCATCTCCATATCTTGGGAAGCAACTTCATTGTTTGAGGAGCTGGCTTGTGAATCTATCATCATACTCGGACCGTCATCATTCACCGTATCATTGTTGTTAACATCATCATCATCATCGTTATCATCATCATCATTATTGATTACCTGCAATCATGACGAGATACAAGATTCAGCACTTTGAAAATACACTAGGAATCTAAGAACACGTTCTCCTCACTATATATCCTTTAAGTGTTGCTTCATCTTATCATTTGCTTTACATGTACATTTCTATAATGTTCTTTTTAAATTGCAGGTAAAAAACTCATGTGTGATTACGGACCTGTTCACATTTACTTAATTTCAGTTCAGTTCACTTCAGCTCTGCTCCAATTATTTCAGTTCAGTTCAGCTCTTAATTTTCCTCTCATAAAATATTTATTTCAGCTCAGTTCAATTTAGTTCCAATCAGTTCAATTCTGTTTAGTTCAGTTCAATTCAGTTCCAATCAGTTCAGCTCAGCTCAACTCAACTCAGTAAATGTGAACAGAGCCAAAAGGCTTACCTCGATCAATCAAGACAAAACCCAACAAAAAAACCTCAAGTAGCAAAAAAAAAAACATGCACAATCTCACCCACAATATATGATACACTATACATGGAGGAAAATTACCGGTACCACATGGCGAATTGGCCTCGCATCCCTGAGCCTTTGAATTGATTGATAGTCACCCTCTAAGCATTCTTCATACATAACCATCAGCTTGTTTGCCACCTATAATGTGTCAACAGAATAATTCTAGATCAGAATAAAGCAATAAACTTATAACTTCAATTTCGATATAATCAAATTGATACAAGAAATAACCTCCTCACATTCCCCTTCATAGTCCATCAAACTCATGGAATTCATGCCATCACAAAGCAAATCTTCTAAATCGAAAATGCATAGAGGTTCTGAGAAAGAGGAGCATTTACATTAGAACTAAAGCCAAAATTAAGAACCCAACAAGAGCTTTTATATCCTCTAAAAGCTTTTATTGACTATATATAAACTCACATATTTGTACAACTATAACTGAAAATAACCTCAAAATCATCTTTGCTATGATTTTCAGTATGATGGCTAAAGCACATAAATGTGAAACATGGCATCATCATCGAAGATTATTACAGAGATATTGCATGAGATGAAATAGCATCTTTACCATTGTTCTTAGGTTGGCAGAAGAAACTGAGAACAGAGTACTCAATAGAGACCGCTTTTTCACGCGAATATAGGCCTCCCCAACCTCCATTCACAGCATCTTGGAGAGCAACCCAACCTGAGAATACAAGTGAAACCCCTTGTTGAAATTGCTTTAGGGCATCTGCTGTTAGCTTTGACCTCTTCGAAGTTTCCATTGTAATTGCACAAGCTATAACAACTATAATTGATTCAGGAATTCAGTTTTGATAAGGATCATTTGTCAGTGGCTAATTCATACATAGATAACACAATTATAAAAAGAACAATATCAATGCAACTAGTATGAATCTATTTCTCCTTCATGTTTTGAGGGTAAGTTTGATTGTATTACTAACAGTGGCAAACTCTTTTCACCTGTACACAAGAGTGTCCAATACAGAAGATAACAAAGGCCGAAGTATACGGATATAAGGATATTAACAAACATAATACTACCTCTGTTAATTTTTATGTGCAACTTTGGAGTATTATTTGTCACATATAAAATATTCTAAAGTTGCGCATAAAAATTAACGGAGGTAATACAACACCGATTATCTACCAAGTACAAATACGAAGTATGTATAGACAATTTAGACATAAAACACCACCAAATGATATTAGCAGACCAGGGAACGTAACAATGTGTTACATCCTACATTAGCAACGAATAATAAACGAAACATATGGCCCTGTTTGGTTTGATGTAAAAGGTTTCATGGAAAATGATTTTTCCATTTTTTCCCAATTTCCTTTGTTTGGTTTGTTAAGGAGTGGAAAACAATTTTGATAGAAAATATTTTCCTTCCAAAAATAAGGGAAGCCACATTTTCCTCTCTCCTCCTTACCTCTTTTTTTTACTTCCCTCTCATTCATCCTTACATTTCCACTCTTATTTTTTATTTTTCTTGGACTTTTCTTGTATGCAACCAAACAAAGGAAAACTAATTTGCAATTGTGTTTTTCCTTGAAAATATGTTTTCCGTGAAAACTAATTTTCCATTGAAAATATATTACATTAAACCAAACGGGGCCATAATCAATAAATCTCAAATTGATTAATCAAGTGCTTCTGCATCTTATGCAATAAATAACTAATCAAGAACAATATGAAACATTTGATGCATTCAAAAATCACAGATTTGATTATTAAACACAACCAACGTAAACGAAACATATAATCAATAAAAAACGCAATATATTAAAAAAAAAAAAATAACGACATTACACAAAGTAAAAGATATAAAAATGGAATCATATCAAATTAAGTAATTCAGCAAATTGAAAAGAAAAAAAAAAGGACAAAATTGAGCAATTGGAAGAAAAACGAAATTCCACGCAAAAAAAAAAAAAAAAAAAAAAAAAAAAAAAAAAAATAATTGATTAAAACAAAATAAACTCAACACAAATAATTAAACCCTAAAATAACAGTAACGTAATTAAGAAAATGAGACTAAGCTAACCGAATTAGTGATGTTTTTCTTGTTGAAGTTGTAATTTGATGAAGTGACAAAATAGTTCAAGCCACAATCCCACTTGCAATCTACCCTAACTCGACTAGGTTTAGCTCTTCTTATTATAACCTACAAATTGCAAGGCTGTGGAATTGAGTGTGCATGACTAAGAAAAACTAAATACCTTTTTTACCCTTTTTTTTTTTGCCTAGGTTTTAGGACGTGGGTTTATGAGTATGGAGTAGAGAATCTCAAGTAGTTGCCTCGGCCACTAGCGGGCTTATAAAGTTACAACTTACAAGCTACATAGTACAATACAATACAGGATTATTAGGTAAAATCTCGTGTCGTATAAAATAATTTTCAATAAGTATTTTTTAAATTAATACTATATTAATATTTTAAATAATATACTCCCTTCATGTTTTTTGAAGTGTTACACTTTGACCGACACATAATTTTAGGCAATTTAATTAACTTAGATAAAATAAGAGGTATGTGAGGTAGTTGGGGTATTAAAAAACTGTAAAAGAAAGATAGTGTGGTTAATAGTCTATTGAAAAATAATGAATGTGAGAGGAAAGATATAATAAAAAAAAAGTAGTTGTGTATTTGGGTGGAGACCATGAGAGGAGAGAGATATAATATTTAAATGTAGTTTTTTGCCAAAAAAAAGGAAGTGTAACACTTAAAAAAACACGGCCGAAAATGGAAAATGTAGCACTTAAAAAAACACAGAGGGAGTATGTTGTATTCATAAAATAGAGCTGTCAAAAGCTTATCCGACCCGAAAATTTTACCCGAACCCGATCATGTCCTGACCTGTTTGAACCTGAGAAATTGAAGATCCGAACTCAATATGACCCAACCTGAAACCAGCCCGAGATCCAAGTTAACCTTAGGATACGTGACCCAAACTCGAACATGACTCGACTTGAGATGACCTGACCCGAACATAATATATACTAAAGAACAACAAAAATGACAAAAAAAAAATCACACTAAGAATAATCAACATGTTACTTTGGCGGAAGCCGATTTGCTTTGATTTTATAAAATCCCTAACATTTCTAAATAAATAATAAAAAAAAAGGAGAGAGATTCGCATTTTATTGTTTACATATTTTTTAAAAAAAAATCAAGAAAATAATGTACGTCAAAAATAAGTTAAGAATATTTGGGAAAGATACATCATCAAATCTTCTCATTATTCTCTATCACATTATATAAAAGTATGTATGTTTGTTTAATCTCACAAAAATCCAACCTTTGCACCCCACCTTCTCCCATAGATCCATTACCTGTTGATGACCGATTTTTGTAAGTTATGTGCCACGTGTCGTCAGTCATTAATTGGTCAATTATTTTTTTAATTATTAAAAAACAAAAAAAATAAAAGGAAAAAAAAAAAACCACCACCAGCCACCTCCCCCAGCCCTCCCACCACCCCAGACACCTCCCCCACTCCCTAACAACTTCCCCCCACCCCCAACCAGCCCCACCATCGGGGTCGTTGGCTTCAGACGATCTCCCCCCATCCCACCCCCACCCCTTGCCTCAACCTCTCCAACCACCAAAACCCCCTACAAATCTAAACCCTAACCACCACGCCAAACACCCTTTTCGACCCTCCCAAACCAACCCGACCCCTCCCCGAACCTCCCCGCCGCCCGCCGACCACAAACCGACAACCCCTGACCCTCCCCGACTTTCCACCCATCCCCACCCTAACCCGACCCAAATTAGCCCCCTTCCACCCAAATCCGACAACCCTCGCCGGTTTTGTGGATCGAGTTTCGTGGATGGCTGGGGTGGTTGGGGTTCTGGGGGTGGTCAGGGTTTAGCCGTTTAGGTGGTTGGTGTTAGGGTTGGGTTTTGGGGTGGTCGGGGTTTAGCCGTTTAGGGTGGTTGGTGTTAGGGTGGCAGAATTGGTGGTGGTGCCTTGGTGGGTTGTTGGAGAGAGAAAGAGAAGGAGTGAGAAGGGAAATTAAGAGAATTAAAAATATATATTTTTTTACCTGTTTAATAGGTTAAAGGTATGGATCTTTAGGTGAAGGTGGGGTGTAAAGGTTGGATTTTTTTTGTCAAACCTCGCAAAGGTTGGATTTCTATATTCCATTTTTCCTAGAATTTTTTTTTCAAAAAAAAAATATAAATAAAAACGACGCACCAAAAGATGACATGTGTCATTGCTGATGTGTCTTTTAACATATAGTTATTGATTGATTGATGTTTACTATTTTACTCATAATATTGTTGTTGTAGGTTTTTTTGTCAATAATAACAATTTTACTCCACTTCTTGTACCTTAGCCTTAAAAAACATTGGATAATTTGCCAATTTCTACCGTAAGTTAATACCACTTTGTAAATTACTACCGCAAATTAAAAAAAATGTGAATTACTACCGCAAAAAATTTTAAGATGTTGCGATTACTACCAAACCCCCATTAAACCCAACTATGACGTCATTATATCCCTTTAACCCGTATTTGACCATGGTTAAGGGCTTTAACCAACCCCCCCAAAAAAGAAAATGGTTTAGGGATATAATGACGTCATGGTTAAGGGCTTTAACCATGGGTTAAAGTAATATAATGACGTCATAGTTGGGTCTAATGGGGTCTGGTAGTAATCGCAACATGTTAAAAATTTTTGCGGTAGTAATTCACAACTTTTTAAATTTGCGGTAGTAATTTACAAAGTAGTATTAACTTGCGGTAGTAATTGGCAAATTTTCCAAAAACATTTAACGCTTGTTGAGTTTTTTTTGTAGTGGTATAAAAGATTCAAGACTATAGAGTAAATATCTACCTTAATATGGGGTATGTAGAACGTATATAGATTTTTTTTTTCTTTTTATTTTCTTATTCAAGACTATAGAGTAAATCTGAGAGCAATTTTAAAACACAAAAGCTATAATTTTGAAGTTGCTTGAACTTGTTATGAGCTGCTGCCTGCTGGTAGTGCTTTTGCCTTTTGGTTGTTGTCTCTGAGTTGTTATTGCCTATATTGTTGCCTGCATGAGCTGGTTCCTGCCTCCTGCCAGCTTGAGGTGTTGTGTTGCTGCCTTTTGTGTTATGAATTTATGATAAGTTTTGTTGCTGCTGTTTCTTATGCTTGCTGTTTTAATTTTTCTTGAATCATCGTTGCCCTTGTCATTTATGTTGAGACTTCAATGTATATGTACTTGCTGGCAGCATTTTTCAAGTTTTAAGTTAAAACAGTCATTGCTCAGTGATGATACGATAAACGTAAATCTGAGAGCAATTTCGAAAAACAAAAATAAGTTCCTGCTGAGTCCCTTCTGCTTATATTATTCCTTGCTTCTGATAAGTTGCTGATCTGTTATTGCGTGTGCTGGTTCCTGCTTGTTGATGCTATTTCCTCTGCTCTTGGGTGTTGTGCTGCTGCTTCAAGATTCTGCTTCAAGATTCTGCTCCCAAATCACTCACATTCTCACTCCTCCCTTCATCTTATCATGTATCATTTTTTGCAACCCTAAACTTGATGATGTTTCAGTTGATAAATCTGAAATCTAATCTGGGTAGTAGTGATAGTAGTTTCATTATGTATTGGTATATGTATTGTGAATTTTAATTAATGAAAATGGTGACTTTTTTTAATTGCTTGTTGATATTACTCTAATTTTAATGCTATTTATCTGCTGGATTTGTGGTAATGTTATGAAATAATTGTGGCTACAGATTTGAGATGCCTCCG